ACTAGTTATACAAGAAGTGTCCATTTTTCACAATAGATGTATACACAAAGCCTCTATAGGTATAGGAGTGTGGCTAGTGCTGGCTGTTCCTGCCCAGAAGAGACCAAAACCACCATCTCCACCACCACCAAAGGGCGGGCCAATAACTGGCCAACGAGCTAGGTCAACATTAGTTCCTCCCCCACCTCCATATTTAACGAGTCCTATAAGGGTATAAATGACCTTAATGAAAGAAGCTTTGATATTCGTCCTTAAGTTGTGTTGCTTATGAACGATTTTAACATCTTTGTTTAGTTTGTTTTATTAATGTACCAAAAATAAAGATAATTGTTGTTTGTTATATCCATTTTGTATTTTGTATTTCTCTTAAGAAATAATAATTATGTGTTATTTTATTAAATTATCCTTATGAATGGTACTTTGGAACTTTACTAAAATCGTAGCCTCAACAAAATTTAAATTACGAGAAATGCAACCTAGGAACTAATCTTAATCCCTATAATTAACAATAATTTGCTCATACTATTAAGTCCCCTAATCATTAGTTTAACCTACTAATTGTTTCATGTTTATACATAATTAGGCCCGTCTGCATCGGTCGGTTCGGTTCGGTTTTAAGTATTATCGGTTCGGTTTATCGATTTTCAATTCTTAAATACATTAAACCAATAACCAAACCAATAAGAGATCTTTTATCGATTTTTGTTTATCGGTTTTAGTCCTTAATAGTTCGGTTTTTGGCTTAACCAATAAGAAAATACTTATAAAATAAATATATGACTTCTCTAATAAATTTGATGCGACAACACAATAATGTAATGAAAAAACTATACAAGTGTAACACAAAGAGAAATTAAGAGGAATGTGGTTCTTACTTTAGATTTTGACGTTTTGTATAATGTGAAGTTGTGAACTAAAAATCACTTTGAAGTGTTGAAGGCTAAAGGATAAAGACAGTAACTAATAAGGTATTGAGATTAATATATAATATTTATGTACAAGTAAATGTAGTAAATTATTAGTCTTAATGGGTTATCGGTTTACCCAATAACCAATAATCAATACCGAATCGATAACCCGATATTTTCTTTTATAAAACCATTAAAAAACCGTTAATCTAATAACCCAATAACAATAAACCAACAACACTTTTTTCGGTTTGATTTATCAATCGGTTCGGTTTTTACAAGCCCCTAAATTACGTCCTGTCGTCCCATTCATTAATTTGGCCAAATCATTTTCTCCATTACTTCCAATATTTTACTTATCATTATTTGTTTTCATTAGAATAACTCAAATTCTTCCAAAGAAACGGGACATTTACAAGGTTTCTTTTGATCCTTATATTATTCTTCTAACAAATAAAAAGAAAAAGTTATAAACCATATTCCAAAAACCTCCAACAATAAGAGCATGCTCCTAGATGATTGTTACGTATTGTTTCATAATGTTTCTTATCATATTATATTGTATTGTATTATATTATATCGTACTGTATGTACTGCTTAAATGAATATAATGTTTGGATAGAATGAATATAATCTCTACTTCTTTTGCTAATAACAATATATTAACGGACTGAATCTCTGTAACAATCTGATCCGTCATTTTTTAAATACAACTCATGCGAGCCTCAAGTTTTTTCTTGAACTTCAGTGCCCAATTAAGAATTACACATGAATATCTTATACCATTCAATGGGGCAACAAACTAAATACAATAACTACGCCTCAGTTGCAAACACACTGGGGTCTACTATACAAATTTTTATTTCTTCAATTATTGAACAAATACAACAATATACACTAACAAGTCACAAAGAGTGCTATAATTGAAATAGTGAAAACACACACACACACACATATATATCACTTACCAACAAAGTTTCACTTGGTGTAGGAGATGATCTATGGCCTGACTTATCCGCGGCCTCTGGTGGTGGAGGCGGCAGAGCAGGCCTCAGTGCAGAAACAGCCAGTGGCCACATTTCTACACACCTAAAGTGGCTATTTCTGTAAAGTTATTTTGCAAAATAGCCACTTCTTGTATAACAAGAAATGCTAAGATATATATTACTAATTTACTATCATCCTCATTTTTCTTCTTAAAACCTTATTATTATTATTATTATTGATGGAGATTTTAGGATAACTCTTTTTAATTCGTTAGTATTTATAGTGTGTATGGCTTGGTAGGGGCCATGCATTTGATTAGTCAAAAATGTTGAAAAAAACAAAATCAAAGAAAAATTGGAAATTTCCTTTATCTATTTCACAAAAAGATAGAGGGTATTTTCGATGGACATTTCTATTGGAACGTTATCAAGAATATGAGATTTCTAATGAATTAATTTTCATTTTCATTAGATAATTCGAGTTTTTTTAGTAGTGATTACGATAATCCTCTTCCTTAGGATAACAATGGTGTGGGGCGGTTATAATTATACAAGTTCACCCTTAGCACATGTTTGCGATAAAAAAAATATTTTTAAAAATAAGTTTATTTTTTATTTATTTTCAGGTGCTCGATAAGTAAACAAAATATATTATCGTGAAATATTTTATATAATATAGACAAACACTATTGGGATGTAGAGAGTGGGAGTGGTGGGGATGGGATATTGTGTTGGAAGGATGGGAGGAGACAATTCATGTGTAATTGCTATTTATAAACCTCACTCATTAGGGAATTAAATTAATTTTTATCATTTAAAAAAAAATTGTTTTCCTATAAAAATATTTTTTTAAAATCTTGACCAACCAAACATTTAAAAAATAGAAAAACATATTTGGTACGAAAAAAAAAATATTTCCTAAAAGGGGAGGTGGAGGCCGGGAAGATAGTGAGTAGGAGCCAATGGTGGGTTCGGGGGCTGGGGTTAGAGGTCGATGGTCGATGACTTCTATGGGTGGATTAGGTGGTGATCATGACTCATGAGGTTTAAAGAGAGTTTTGAAAAATATTTTAATTTCCTTATTTTATGTAGGAAGTCATTTCGTTAATATTTTACTTGGAAATTTCAATTAATCCGTCCCATCACTATCTTATTCTCTCTTGGATCTCAAGTAACAACTTTTCTTTGCCCTTCACCTCCACGTTTTGAGAAAGATTAGTCTTCGATTCACATTAGTTTTGAATAATTTTATTTTGAATGTATTATAAGATGATCACTTATTGAAGGACTAATATAAAGAGTCAAATTCAACAGGCACACTGCCAAATACTTCATTGCCATATTGGAAAAGGCATAATACATAAATATGCTTTAATTTTTAACTTAGTCGTAATTGACACTTACCCCTTCAACTTTGGATGTGTATAAGTTGGCATAAGTTGGACGGCATAGATATATCAGCCGAGGTCACGTTCAAGAACACGTTTATATATTATGTCATTGCTATATATAAAATTCATAGCATCATGGACTAAAGAATAGTACTCATAGAATTGCCACATCATAGAATTAAAAGTCATATTTGGATCATATCTTGTAAATACTCCAAGATTTTCATGAATTTTTCTATGACGTTTTTTTTATTTGACTAATTCAAGTCCTTCTAACTAAATATATATACCTATAAATTCTAATAAAAAATTAAGAACATAATAAACAAGTCCTAAATTAAAGAAATGAAGATGATTATAACTTTTATCATTGCATGACTAGTTATACAAGAAGTGTCCATTTTTCACAATAGATGTATACACAAAGGCTCTATAGGTATAGGAGTGTGGCTAGTGCTGGCTGTTCCTGCCCAGAAGAGACCAAAACCACCATCTCCACCACCACCAAAGGGCGGGCCAATAACTGGCCAACGATTTTAATGAAGAATCTTTGATACTCTAGAGTAATGCATTTAAGGACATGGAGTTTGTCCTTCTTCTAATGGACTTAAGTCGTACTATTGCTTATGAACGATTTTAAAATCTTTGTTTGATTTTTTCTTTTATGTACCTAAAAATAAAGATTATTGTTGTTAGTATACATAACAACGAATAAATTTTTTCTTTTTTTATACACTCTATGTTTGGTTTTACTTGTATCCATTTTGTATTTCTCATTCCTATTAAAAAAATAATAATTAAGTGTTTGTTTTATTAAAAAATTATTCTTATGAATGGTACTTTGAAATTTAAATTTGAATAATGGTATTTCAATTAGTTTGGAAAATGGTTACTCTCTCTAGATTTGTTATAGTAGAAGTAAAAGTAAAAAAATATTTTTATTATACTCGACTGGGAAAGAAAGGACTAATTATTTTGCATTGCAATTTCTTTTTATGTCTAAAGCATTTGGTATGAAAAATCACGACATGCACCTCTGCAAGATTTGAATAAAATTCACTAAAATTGTGAACCTCAAAAAATTTCATATTACAAGAAATGAAACTAATATTATTCCTAATCCCCCCTAAAACAATCCTTCTAAAGAAAGCTGAAAATAGGTAAAATTCAATCGTAATCCAAAAACAAGTTATCTAGATTTGAAGACGATAAAACATATAAATATGATATAACTTTAACAATTTGGTTCATTATATCATATTGCATAATATTATTTCACGTCAAACTATGTTATTAATGCTTCAACCATATTATTGTTATTTCACTGAATCGAAACAAAAAAAAATAATCACGATTTTATTAAATCACCATGTCAATCCCTTGAAATTTCAATCCGCATCGAATTATTGTCATCCCTACTTTTCCTTTTCTTTCTTGGACCTCAAGTTATAACTTTTCTATGCATTTCACATCCATGTGTTACAAAAGATTGATAAAAGTCTCCAATTCACATATATGTTGTATAGACTTTAAATTCAAGTACGTACCATATATATAACCCCATATACCCTAAACCTAAGGTAATAAGAAACAAGTCCCAATTTATTTTTTTAAAAATGAAGATGGTTATAACTTGTATCATTGCATTACTAGTTATACAAGAAGTGGCCATTTTTCAAAATAGCTTTACAGAGAAAGCATATTTAGGTATAGAAATGTGGCCACCGGCTGTTTCTGGCCAGCGGAGACCGCGTCCTAGGTATGGTTATTTTGAATTTTGAAAATAAAATTAAAAAAGTACGAATTCAAATTAATTAAGCTAGATCAGATACTAGATAAGGAGATATTATATGAGAAAAAAAGAGCATCTAGATGTAAGAAAAAATGATCAATATTTTGGGATGGAACTAGTCCCATCACTTTCTTGAATAATAAAATTATTTAGTCCAAGTCTTATGACTTCTATAAAAACACGGTTTTGTAAGATATATTTCATATCTTTAAAGACATTATTCAATGTTTCAACAGACGGCTAGAGAAGAAATTAATTAATAAATTAATGATACATGTTTTCCAAGTTTTGATCCTTATTTTCTTTGATAAAGAAATGAACGTTGTGACTAACTCAATCTAAAGAGCTAGTTCATTCGGAGAGGATTGTCAAGACCATATAAATAAATCACTTTTCCTGATCATCGCCATCGATGTGGGACTCGATCTCTCTGAACGTTCAAGATTGGATATTTGAAACTGGGACAATATAATCTAGGAACCCGACAATGGGTAAACAATAAGATGTGATGGTAGTGACTTTAATTTGATACTATATTGCTTTTTTTTTTAAAATGAGTCGAGACCCTTAGTTTAACTCAACCACAAAACTAGATCATGAGGTGATCAAGAGTACGTACCCAAGATAATAGGATTTTATGAGATCCAAAATTGTAAAACGATAGGCGTTAATAATTTATTTTTATAATGATTTTTCATCTGGTATTCAGTACTTGCTTTAAATTGTTCGATTAATTTGAAGACAAGTTCAACACAAGTAGGTTGAAAATTATTAAAGTCATATTGCAAGCTAATGGACTTTCTTTGATGTTTGTACTTTTCAACAATTTTGGATAATCAAATACCTTCGACCTAGACATAAACATTATAAAATTTTTATGAATGCTACTATATATATAACTCATATTCCCAAAACCTCAAACAATAAGCTTTTAGAAATCATGAAAATGATTATAACTTGTATTTTTGCATTACTTGTTATACAAGAAATGGCCAATTTTTCAAAATAGCCATTTAGAAATATGGCCACTACTAGCTGTTTATGCTGAGATGATGAGACCTTCTCCGCCACCACCACCACCACCAAAGGCCGCATCAACTATTAGGCCAAGATTACTAATTGTACCACCTACCCTGCCGTCTCCATAGTTGTCTCAAAGTTTTGATTTGTTGGTGTGCAGAGATGGAGCTAGGATTTTGAGTTTATAAATTTTGAATTCTAGAAAATGTAGCTCACTAGATTCTTTGTAAGTTATTTATACGTAATAAGTAGATATGAAAATACAAAATAGGGTTTGAGTCAAAATTATTGAGTTCTGGTGAAGTTGTAGGCTTGTAGCTCCACCACTAATGGTGTGTTACCATGTTCATATTTTCACTATGTGTATGATTGCGTTTAGTACTTCATATAATAAAGCAAGGCTTTCATTCTTTCTCTCCCTCTTTTTTCCCCTTCATTTTAATACTTATATAGGAATCTGACTAAATTCTAATTTGTGACAATACTGGGGTTGTGTCTTTTCTTTGTCTTTTCTTTTTTTAAAAGGATGAGAAGGAAAAGGGGGAGAAATGTTTATGAGTTGTTTGATCAGTGAACAAGTTTATTATATGAGAATTATAATTAATGATAAGATAATAATAAGGGGATTAACAAGAATGGAATTATTTAATCAGTGAATATAATATTTCTGAGAATATAAAATTAGATGTGTCCGAAATTAATTATTTCAGGATAAGTTATTCCATCACGTATATATGATAACTTATTCTATCACTAAGGTATAAATAGTAGGATAAATAACTCAGAATAACATAATACCTCCAATCAAACACATAATTTTGAGAGAATGAATGCACTATTATAAAAGCCAAATATGAGAGGCTTGTTGGTCTATATTAAGTGAATTGTTGGCCCGCTCCTTCAGAACTATTCCCCACACCCCCACCTCCATATTGATCAAGGTGCTATTTGTTATAGTTGGATGACAATATAAGTTTAACATACAATAATTAGTATGTATAGGTTACTCAAATTCATATTAGAAGGTCAAAACGAGGTCCTTTCCTCACTAGTTGTCTAACTATAGTAGTAGGTCTAAAATGGTCCCTTAACGATACACTTAACGGATTTTTGTTGAGAGATAATAAAATTAGACAACGTACATAATTAGTTGTTTAAAAATGAAGTAGTTATCGTAAAAATATGGATCTTGTGTCTAACACATAACCTCAAAAATAAAGCTATAGAGTTCATGAGGAGAGAATTTTCTAAGGCCATATAAGGAGAACATTCATCTCTTTTCATTTGATGTGGGACTCTTCAACATCCCAAGGGCGGAGCCACCTTAGGCGAAGGGTGTTCCGGTGCACACCCTTCGTCAGAAAATTATATGGTGTACATATGTTAAGTGTTAGTTAATATGAGTGTATATTTAATTTTGTACACTCTTAACACAACTGAGAGGAAAATTTGCACTCTTCGCCAAGTTTCTAGCTCCGCATCCCACCTCACGCTCACGATTGGACATCTGGAGGTAACAATAATTGGGATGGGTTCTATTCTACTACCATGTGAAAAGATAGATCTTGTTCTATTTCAACCTCAAAAACTAGCTCATGAATTATTTTTTTATCCGAAATTACGTAATGAAACACACTCATCTCTTTTTATCCTACGTGAGACTCTTCAACAGTTATATTTTATTAAAAGAAGGTATAGTATCTCAAATGGCAATTTCAACATCCATGTATTAGTCCTTATGTATATTAGTATCCTTATCAATTCAGATTACAAATTTAATATAATTCAATAATTTTAGCCTTTCACCTTCATGTGTTATGAAAGATAAAAGTCTCCCATTCACATGTATAATTTCTAGAAGTAACACGTTTGATGAATTTATTGATCATTTATTCACATTAGTTGTAAATAATTTTCCTTGAACTGATTATTGAGTGATGTATTTAATATTATCTTCGTTTTTTTCCTCAAGGAGACCCACCTCTTCAAAGACTAATAAAGACTTTAATTAAAGGCGGAATGACCTAAGAGATTTTTATATTTGGCTCGAATTGTCACTTGGACACTTGTACTTCATAAGGTTTCATCCAGGCACTATAATTGTTAAATCACCTTATTTTAAATCATTCTGACAATTGACTGATCTTATGTGTCAACTTATTGATTAAGCAGGAATAATACTTTAATTTCACGCGTATAACGTGCGTAAACATAATTTTTTTTATCAAAATAATTATTAAAATAAATAAATAAGAAAATAAAAAAATAAAACACTCCATCTAACACCACTTTCTTCTTCCCCCACCCCACCACCTCCTCTTCTTCTTCTTCTCCCAGTTCTACCACCTTCAAAAACAATAATTTCATGTGTAAATGTTTGTATTACACGTACATTTACTAGATGAGTAAAAGGTTTACAATATAGAGTTTCATTGGGTTTATGTGTTCATTTAGCAAAATCGTAAGTAGAATGATCTAGGTGACGATCCGAGTCAAGTAATTTCACCTCAATTAAATTCAACAAGTTGAGGTAGGTCTCGAAAAAAATATCAATTAAATGAGGCGTAGATTGAGGTTTTTTTGGCTTGCTTTAATTTTGTATATATCAAAATTAATAATTCCCTGCCAGAGTTTGGTGAGGATTAATTGATTAATGCGTAACGGAAACATTTTTATTTATTTATTTACTTATATATAGTACACTTATTTTGTTTCTTGGTCAAACACATTTTATTACTATCATATTTAGAAACAAAAGAAAACATGAATCAAAAATAATTTCACTCACAATAATCTTTAAAAATAAAATCTAAGCATTCATAAAAACATATCTTACTTCTATAACTTTGAATAGCAAAATTGCAATAAAATAGCAAACAAAAAAAATCAAATTAAAATCGGAAAATAAGTAGTACATGGTGGAGTGGATGCATTGTAACTTTGCAATAGGGTGAAACTAGCCGCTGTAAAGTCGGCTAGCTAGGAAAATCTTGATTGAAAGTTCATATATATTTCTATTTTCTTCTATATTTGACTAAGTCAAATTATGATATCTTATTGATTGTTAAAATTTCTCAAAATAACTATGATTAATAGATAATTCATAATTGAATCGAGAAAATCAACTATAAATCTCAAATTCTGGATCAAGCCTCTACATACTTTGCAAGATTCAAAAAACAACCTAGCCTCTCAAGCTCGATTTTTGCATAAAATTTATGTGATCATTCGATTAATAAAATCTACAAATCTTCTCATAGTTGTAGCATAGTGGTGGTGAGCGTGGTGCTCATGGATAGCTTACCGATGATGATGAAGAAGGTGGTGGGGCTAGCGCCTATACAGTACTGGTGGAGGTGGTGGTAGTGATGGTAGAGTTGGTACTGGTGAAGGTGGTGGTGGTGATGACAATGATGATGGTGGTGGTGGTGGTGATACTAGTGCTAGTGGTGGTGGTGATGATGATGGTGGTGGTGGTGGTGGTGATGGAGGTGGTGATGATGATGGTGGACCCAGTACTGGTGAAGGTGGTGGTGGTCCTGGGGGTACATCACGCTTCCAACGACGTCCTACATTATGCTCTGGTGTTGGCGGTGCTGGTACGACTCCACCCTTATCCCGATCTAAACTTTTTAATGCTTCTGCTGAAAGACTACAACACTTGTGGTTCACCATCACTAATTCATGGATGAGTATGGAAATTAGTAGACATGAAATTTTGTATGTAGGCTTCATTGTGAAAATAAGTTTACCAAAGCTCCACTATGATACATAATGTGAAATAATATCATATTACGCTAATAACTTAAGTTTTTAGATATGATGCTTAATTAACACAATTTCAATTTATAATAGGGATATTAGAGCATATATATAATGAAGTCTCTGGTGCAAGTCTCACTATATCATTTATTATAAGAAAAATAATCAAATTCTCACCAATGAAAACTCCTCATATATAGATCCTAATAACACACACATATACATTATCATATCTAACTAAAAACTTTAAATAAGATCATCACTAATCTCGACATATAAATTTTTTGGGTCGTTTGGTACAAAGATTAATAACGTAGGGATTGATAATACAGTGTTTATTTTTATCAAGTGTTTGATTCACCTCATTTTGTGTTTGGATTAAAACTTTATAAAAAGTTTCTTTCCAATTATACCCTTGAATTATTATGTAATTGGTCAAGGTAGATAATTTCCATTTGCTGGAAAATATTAGTACGATTTTTCTATGGCCTTCTAACTAGCTAGAAGAAGAACAATTTTGTTGTCATATTTACTAGTTTTTTCACTTGAATTATTTGAAGATAAATAATTATCATCTTAATAAATTGATCACTCACAAAAGTCAATTTTCAATTTAAAAAAGATAAACCATCTACTTTTAAAATCAAAATTACGATAAGCAATGATAAAATTAAATAAATCATTTACACATAATGGTAAGTTATTGTTTTAATAATAGGTAAATGTAGAGGTAGCTGGCTGAAACAAATGCATAATAATTCCCTGCCAGAGTTTGGTGAGCATTAATTATTTTCTGTTCAAACACATTTTATTATTATATATATTTAAAAACAAATTTAAAAAAAAAACATGAATCAAAAATAATTTCTCTAACAATAATCTTCGAAAACCAAATCTAAGTACTCATAAAAGAAATATTTTCTGTACTTCTATCCTTTTGAATAACAAAATTGCTCATGTATCGAAAATAAAATAGCAAAATAAAAAATCAAATTAAAATTGGAAAATAAGTACTCCTACATAGTGGGAGTGGACACATTGTAACTTTGCTAGCAAAAGAAATCTTGAATGGAAGTTCATATATATTTCTATTTTTTCCCATCTCTGACCAAGTCAAATCCCGATGTCTTATTAATTATTAAAATTTCACAAAATAACTATAATTTACTAGATAATTGAATTCAATAAATCAATCATAAATCTCAAATCCTAGATCAATATGCCTCTACAAACTTTACAAGATTTAGAAAACACTTACTAGCTCTAAAGCTTGATATTTGCACAAAATTTACATGATTCGATTAATAAGATCTACAAATTAAATCTTCTCATAGTTGTAGCATAGTGGCAGAGAGTGTGGTGCTCATGGATACCTTATTATCGGTTATGGTGATTGTGATGATGATGAAAATGGTGGTGCAAGCTCTAGTGGTGGTGGAGATAGTACTGGTGATAATGGTGGAGGTGGTGATACTAGCGTTAGTGCTGATGGAGGTGGTGGTGATGATGATAGTGGAGAAGATGCTGGTGAAGGTGGTGATAATGATGGTGGAGGTGACAATACTAGCGCTAGTGTTGGTGGAGGTGGTGGTGGTGGCTCTAGTGGTACATTACGCCGCCTCCAACCACTTCCTATATTATGCTTTGGTGGTGGTGGTGGTGCTGCACGTCCACCAATATTCCGGTCTAAACCATCTACCTCTCCGGCAACATTGTAGGAAAATTGATGTATTGATGCTTCTACAATATTGGAACACTTGTAGTCCACCATCACTAATTCATGGATGAGTAGGAATACTAGTAGACATGAAATAATATATGCATGTCTCATTGTGAAAACAACTTTATCAAATCTCCACTATGATATATAATATGAAATACTATCGCTTTACTATAATAACTCAAGTTTTTAGATGTAATATTTAACACAACATATAATATTAAAGCATATATATAATGAGGTTTTTGGTTCAAGTTTCACTATCACCATTCATTTTAAAAAGATATATCATGCTTTTAACTTTAAAAAAATAATAATCAAATTTGCACATGAGAAGATTTATCTAACTAAAATCTTTAAATAAGATAATCACTTACCTCGATATATAAACTTTGTGTTTAATCCCTCAAAAATAACATATTTAAAAACAAATTATCCAGATTCAACCATATAATATGTAGAGCGCTTTCTACTTTTTAGAATATTTTGAACTTATATATAATCTCATTAAAATTTTGACGAAATGAAAGATAAAAATATTTTTTTTGAGTAGTCCCATCATTTTTCCCCAAAAAAATAAATGTTTTGGTCTGGTCCCATGGCTTTTATGTTAACACGGTTTTGAAATTGAAGTCTTTATCACCATTAAATGGTGTGATGGATCGATAAATACCCCTCTTCTTATATTAATATTAATTTTCCATCTTATTCCAAATAATTGTCCCAAATTACTCTATCAATTTACTTTTATGTATTTTGTCAAAGAACTTCTTTTTTATAAATAAAAGAGAAACATGAATCAAAATACATAATAAATTCTCTCACAAGACCTAATCCTTTATAAATCTATTATTCTTAAAACCAAATCTAAACACTCACAAAAACAAACATGTGGGAGAGGACATGATGTCGTACGTCTCGAACCCAATAATAAATATATATTTTAGAATTCAGAATTTAAAAACTCAAAATTCTAACTCTACCTCTGTCATTTCATGAACAACTTGTCGGTGCTGATGATGGTGATTGTGGTGGCGGCGTAAAAGGGAAATGCATATGAGATACCATACTAGCCTGTGGTGGTGTGATTCTTGTTTTTTTCCCTTTTAAACCTCTTAGCTCTCTAGCAATCTTGAATTGAGAAAACAATTTCTTGTAGGAATTATCATATTGTTGAATAGACCTTGATGTTGCTTCATGAATAATACAGGATATTAGAAGAAATGAAAGTATACAATATGCAAGCCTCATTCTTTCAAATTTTCAAATAGTAATGAAGTTTCTTGAAAATTAAGTTCACAACATTCCAATTTATATTACTCTCTCTCTAATTACTTCTTCTTTTTTTATTTGAACTCTTATGAATATGAAAATAATGGTTAAATCGAAGTCAACAGTCAATTGCTCATATCGAAAATAGAGTTGACTAGCGATTTTGAAGGAACTTGTTGGTTGACTTTTAAACCAAACCATATAAAATGTAATTATATATAACTTTATTAATAACTAACATTAAATGATTATCTAAAATAAATGGTGTACGTGACAACGTGAGTAACAACATTATTACTTAATGTATAACAAGTTGAATTATTCTAATAATTTTATTTAAAAAAATGCATGATATAACTTAAATCCGCTAAATAATTTAATTTATATCTTCATATACGACTATAAGAATAAAAAAATATTAGCAACTCATTTTTGAAAAGTTGATTCTCAAGTCTGTCATTCTGCTAAAATTGAGGTAATATTTATCAATATTCAAGAGGTAGGTTTAGACAATAATTTTGAAAAAGAATTAAACATTCTTTTGAATTTTATAGTCTAAAATATGTTATAATATTTGTATGATTATAAAAACTTGTCACTAAATGTAAAATAAAAATAAAAAAATTATTTTATATTTAAAAGTAGGGGTGTACATGACCGGGTTGGTTCAGGTTTTTCAAATATCAAACCAAACCATTTGTGTAAAAAATTTAAATTTATAAACCAAAACAAACTAATAAAATTTGGATTTTTTCGGATTTTTCAACCTCAGGTTGGTTCGGGTTTTTCAAATACCAAACCAAACCATTGTGTCGAATTTTTAAATTTATAAATCAAACCAAACTAATAAACCTCGGATTTTTTTAGATTTTTGGATTTTTTCTGTAAAGTTTGCATACAAACATATAATTAACTTGTGCTCCAAATATTTCTTTAGTCCAACCAAAATACAATTATCTACGGTGTTTCTTAAGAAAATAAAACAAAATATGAAATGAGTACTGATGATACTAAAATATTCAATAAAAAATAATAATGAAATCATCATATAAAATAAATATTGCAAAGTCATAATGAAAATGATCATAATTTAAAAGTACTAAATCATGCTAAAATAAATTTAATAAGTATTAGTTACATTACTAAATATTTAAGGAAAATTAAAATTAGATTATGCATTTTAA